TGTGTATCGTAAAACCGATTTTTTGACCGAAAATCACCATTTCTGAGGGGGGGGGCCCTTAAAATTTTGACTATTGAATGATCAAAACCGCAAGTCTTTACCTTTTTTTGTTCTGGAGTTACTCAAAAAACAACGACCGGCCATATATTTTGGGACGGAACTGATGTTTCAAAGTAAAATGTATTTTCTTGAAAAAGTGACCGAGAAAAAGCTTCATAAAAAATTCTTGTATCCTGTAAAAACGACTTTAGTTAGATAATATTAAACTTCATATTTGTGATGTGTCATGTTTACATAAAAGGTGTGCATCTATCAATTTTGTATAAAAGTAAAAGAATATGACGATTAGGGTTTCATCAAACACAACTAGAATGAAAAATGATTAAAGTGTTGAGGTGTAATAGTATCAATATAAATGTGAGAGTAACAACAGCTGTTTTGAAATTTATTTTAATTTTATTTAATTAGAAACCGTATTCGAAAGTATAACTTTTATTTTCAAGAACAATAATCGTAAAACGTTTAGATAACAGAGAAAAGAAAATAGATATAAATAGTAAGAGTGAGAGAGAAGACATATACATTTTATATAGACGTTAGTCAAGGCCAATAAACTTATTTATTTTATTTTACGTCTATTTTATTTTCTCTCATTATATACAACATGTTTTATCTTGTCACTCGCTACATATTTGTTGTTATTGTAGGGCTGTGACAGTTATCAGTTACCGTTACCACCGTTACTCGGTAATGATAACTGTTGAACAGTTGCCGTTCCTGGTAACAGGTAATCAGTTACCGGTACAAGTAACGATAACGACCAGTTACAAGTAACGGTAACTGTTCAGTATATCTTTCAAGAGTCAAATCTCTGAATATCTAGGTGACAGTTATTCATACTTGATCGACCTATATCCCATCATCGTTTTATCCACTACAGATGAAGAAATATTCGGTGATGAGTATTTAGATCAAGCGAAGACTAGTTTTTTTCTATTGTGTTTCAAAAAGTGAATAAACGACACAAAATAAAATAAACATTTGTTTCAGTAAATAATGAAGAATAAAGAAAACATAAATTTTAACTTTTGTCTTTTAAAAATAATGAGTATTTGATTGTTGTTGGCGATTGTTGGTTATTTAAGTATATAAATGTTGAAATCAGAAAACGTATGTAAAAAATGAAATGAAATTTATCTTTGTTTTTCGAGAAGAATCCACTAGAGCGTACATGTAGAAGTAGCCGTAAAAACTTATACACTTCTCACTTCATTAAACACATGCTCGACGGTTACCGTTACTTGTAACTGATGGTTATCATTACTTGTAACGGTAACTGCTTGCCTGTTACTGTTCAACGAGTAGTTATAGTTACTGTAACGGTAATGGCAACTGTCACAGCCCTATACTATTGTTCACATTGTTCACTGGTCTTGACTAACGTCTATATAAATGTATATGTCTTTTCTCTCACTCTTACTATTTATATCTGTTTTCTTTTCTCTGTTATCTAAACGTTTTACGATTATTGTTCTTGAAAATAAAAGTTATACTTTCGAATACGGTTTCTAATTAAATAAAATTAAAATGAATTTTAAAATAGCTGCTGTTGTTACTCTCACATTTATAGAATTGTAATAGTTTGTTTGCTGAAAGAAAATACAAAACATGAAAGATACGAACCATATACGTACGTATTTCTGACAAAGACTAATTAGATAAAGTGCTAGTGGGCTAAAATATTCAATAATTTATGGCTGCACGATATAAAATAACTTACTTGCTACTTCAATTATTTCTGGCACTTACGATTGGTGTACTAATCGGCTATTATATGGCACAGAAAATGGAAATAAGTTCGCTGTATACAAAAAGTTTAGCTGTTGGATGTTATCAACAACTAAGACCCATTACATTAAGACCACACGTCAATATTGTTGATGTCTGTGGTGAAATTCTCACTAATTTTACTTGTATAAAGTCAAAAGTATTACTTGACTCATCTCAAACAACTATTTGTCTACATGATGTGAACAGAGATGTCTATGTTAGTGGTACAATTATTAATCAAAAAATATGGGAAGAAAATCTCGTGACAAAGTTATTAAAAATATTATTAAAATATCCAGAGTATGGTAAGAGAATTCTAATTCTACTTGAGTAATGAGAACAAAAGTGAAACATAAATTCTTTCTAGACTTCTAAGGGATAAAGATGCTCTAAAATGAGTCTCAGAAAGTATATTGCACAGAACTAACTGGATCAGAGTTTTTTTGTTTGTACTTTTATAAGCAAGTAGTTTTTATGAGTCAAGATTTCGTTTCTAAAAATAAGGCACTATTTTATTTTCATTAATAGCCATGATTGATATTGGTGCTAATATCGGTACTTATACGATGTATTCATTATCCATTCATCGCACAACAATCTCAGTCGAATGTTATCAACCAAACATTGAGAGGATTGTACGAGCTGTACAACTTGAGAATGTTTCAAGATATCTAACATTAATTGGAAATGCAATATATACTGAAGCGGATAAATATTTGCAATTAGAAGAAGACAAATCAAATATTGGTGGACAAGGATTAATAATGAATGAAACAACAAATCGTACATTTCCAGTTTCTGATAAATTCACAGGTAAGAAGCAAAAAATGACTATTTGTTTAGAATTCTCTTTGATGACATGATCAATCAATAACTCTCTTTTTTTCGTAGTTAGAACCATTCGCTTTGATGACTTACTACCCATCTTTATTGATCGTCAAGTTCGAAGTGCAATAATGAAGGTTGATATTCAGTCATCTGAAAGTTTCTTATGTGCATCAGGTAATAAAATATTTGATTCAATCAACATTGTATTAGTTCAAATGGAATGGGCCGAAATTAAATGGAAAACCAACCAGGTCGAGTTCATTTTTGATTTTTTCACTAAACGAAATTATGTGCCAACAGCTACAGATAACTGTCAAATATTGAATAGAACAACGAGTAATTACACAAGATGGGGAACACCACATGATATCTTCTGGATTAAATCAAGTTACTATCATATTTGTGAAACTTAACTGAAAACAATCAGTGCGGCTGTTGAACTTCAAACTATCGATTTTTTTCGTTTATATGTAGAAGCGCTCAACAGACTTTTATAAGAATTATACAAGATCGATCGATTCTTCAATAACGAAATCTCAATGGCAGATTTTTTTTGTTCATGTAAGAAAAATGATGAAGATTAGAAAACATTTTGGCTAGAGGTATGTCTCAATTAGAAAAAGGCTTATGATGGTCTTTGTAATAGAGAGCGATAGACAAAAGTACAGATTCACTTTTATTCTTTGCCTTTTGTTTTCAAATGAAAAGGTTCTAAAGTCAAATCCCTGTTCGACTATGTAGTTCAAACTCGTTTCACTATTTCAAAAAATATGAATCGTCAAAGAAACGACAGCGAAACGTGGCTTGAGTTGAGTTGATTACTAAAATCTTACTTTTGAAACACTGACATTTGTATTTTTTGTGGAAAATAGGACTACATTCTACTTTAGGAGAGTTGCACTTCATAGCAGACACATCACTTATTTCGAGTATTTTAACTAGATTAATTTTTCTGACTTTCTACAGTTACAACATCCGTCGAGTTTTTAACCATTTTTGAACAAGAGCTCAATTCTTGGATCTGAATGTGTATGCTCGCGCAATTTTCTGAGCTTATAGCCATCCTCTTTCCCAAATTCTACTTTTATTCCCATATTGGATTTAAGACCCCAGCCCGCGAGCAGATCTCGAACATCTGAATAGACAGCTCGATCTAGAATATTTTTCTTTTATCATACTAACATCATTCTTTTAGAATGTCATGCGGAGAAAACACTATGATGAGTTTATTTTTATGAAGTAGTCTGTGTTTTCTTTTGTACTAATTTAACTTCAAATAAAAGTATATAACAAATATTCAGAAAGCGATTCATCGCCCTGAATTTTTTCGTTGCAAATAGATCTCGATGAATATGAAAAAGTCCTGCTGGAAGTATCTCTCCATCATAGCGATAAATACTACTGTTTATTGGAGAACGTTTGATAGAAATAGATTGGTAGAAACCTGCGGTCTTTGCCGAATGCCAAGAATGAGTACATATTTGCGTAACTAAAACAAGTTTCAAAATCATCTTTGAAAGTAAGGTTCTGATATTTTACGAATAGCTTATGATGTTTTAACGTTAGATGAAAACAGAATGATTGACCAATTAACCAAGTTACTGAATTATTCTCCTAAAACAAATATTCTCCTATTTACAAACACCTTCCTATTTTCAAATTATTCTCTTAGAATATATGTGTCTTTCTTCTGGAATCGACTACTGGTACGTGTTTCTTTGATACCTGAAGATTGCTCCTATTTGGAGATGAAGATATCTCCATTTTGTAGAGAAATGTTTGGTCTATCAGACTCAGTTACGAGAAAAATTTAATATGCCCATGCTCTTCGTACAATTCAGTTTCTACGAAAAGAGGATAAAAAAAGCCGGTTTTTTACCGGTGCATGCCCAATTATGTTTCTGAATGGAATAAAGAAATGGCGACAGACCGATCAGAATATATTTTTGAAACGCTCTCTTGATTGTCAATGAAAAAAGATAAATTGTACTAATCAAAGAAGCTGCTAGAGATATAAACGAGTTATTCAACATACAAGGGATTGCAAACTAAATCCTACTCAATGTACTATATGTAATAAATTGATTATTCTATGTTGGTATCATGCAAAAATGTGTCAAGAAGGAAATTGTCAAGTAAGAAAATACTTTCCTTTTTTTTTGTTAATAAGGTCTTTTTTTGTTTTTGGGTTAATTTGTTTTTGGGTTAATAAGGTCTTACAACTAGTTTTAATTCTAATTTAATTGTATCAACAAATTCAAAAGAATCTGAATCAGTCTCTGACATTGCTGTCAATGATAATAGCCAAATATTTACCGTGTTGTAATTATAAGCACGTACACCCAACGCTTACTTCCTGCCTAAGGTGCAATCCAAATGTTCTCTGCGTCCCATTATTTCTAGTTATGGTACTTATAATCACGACACAGCTAAACAATTGACTAACTTATCATTACCGGCAATGTCAGAGACCATAGGCGTAACTACGGGGGAGACTAGTGGGCCATGGCCCAACACGATCTGAGCATTGGCCCAATACCAAATTGTTTTTGAGTGTTCTGCCCAAAGCTTTTCCTTCACCTACCAATCCTGAATAAAGTTTGTGACATGAAAGCGAAATAATGTGCTGCCA